AAAACTAATTTTAAAATTAACCATATATGTAAATTTTAATTTTTAACCTTTAAAGGTATTTTGAAATTCTTATGTGGTTGGAGGGCACAATTTTGACAAATTGAAAATAGCGTGTGTGTTTGTGTGTGTTACTAGTTTATCACTTATTGAGCCAATTCTCTTTTGCTTCAGCATTCATAGCAAAGTTCATGAGTTGGTACAGGAGTTCAGCTGCAAAAGTGACAACGCATGAGTGAACTTAGGTTCGGTAAATTGGGTAAAATATAGAAGATTCAATTTAAAAATCAAGTTATATATAAAAATGAATTTGCTGGGACAAAACTATACCTAGTATTATTCACAAAATTTGATGACCCCTTGTTGGGTTGATTGGGTCAAATAGATCAAAGAGTCCATTTAAAAATCAAGTTAGATGAAGATTGTACTCAGAAAAATGAAACAGCGAACCAAAACTATACCTACCATTATTATTATTATTATTATTATTATCATCATCATCATCATCGTCATACTGCTACCATCATTACTAGTTCTTAATATTAGAGCTAATTAGGAGGAAAATTGACTTTAATATAATATCTCAATCATTTTTATCTTTTAAATTTATACTTTTTTTTTCAAAATATCTTTATTGATTGTAGGGATTCTTGCCAATTAAAAAGTAGTTACAATGTATATGGTTAAATATGATAGTTTAGGGAAGTCAGAATCTATTTATTACAAATAACTAACTTAACTATTTTTTTTAATATTTTAAAATTGAAGTTTAAAAGCAGTATTATATTATTATTTGGGGTGTCGGCAGAAAGATGAGCTTTCCCCATGCTGGCTGCCACAATCATGAACCAACGTCTCCACGCGTGTGCTTGGATGTTATAATTCAATGATGAGACAAAAATACGAGAGACAGGCCATAAAGCGGGACACATGACGGTAAAAAACGAATAAATCAGGATCTCATCATTTCGATCTCCACGGATCTAAGTGGGAAATAACTGTACCACGTGGCAAAGCTCCGCAAATTTCGGGAAAACAACCATTAGATCTTTCGAGTTGCCTTGCGCCACTCCAATTATTGAACTCCACCTCCAGTAAAAAGTAAAAACTCTTTAGGTTATTATACAGTATTTAATTTCAGAGCTAAAATCTCTGGTGGATAAATCACTAAGACCAAGACTTGAAAAGCTAGAGGAGTACAAACATGCACAAAAACTCTGTCAATTTCGAGAATTAGTTACTACTTCTAATGTTTAAACTAAGAACTAGTTTGACATGTAATTTAGTCTTAAATATATGAACCCAATCTATTTAATCTCTTGTATTTTTTTTAAGATAGTCCTTGTACTATTGCACGCCTTAAAAGTTTCATCAAGTGATAGTTATAGCTAATACACATGATTATTAAGTGTATTCTAGAAGAGACAACACATATTTATTATAAGTAACTAAAATAATTTTCTTAATCTACTCAAATTAGTTAACTATTTCTTATATTAAGAATCAGAGGTAGTATAATAAATAAATAGTGTTATTGTATCTAATCATTATATTATAATTAGAGTCTATGATAAATTATAATTCACGTATCATTCAACAAAGGTTTTTCAAGGGGTGGGGGTAAACACGTTATCAATGACCTTGAATCTCGATCCTTCGAAATACTTTAAGAAGATAAAGTGAGATAATGCACAGGAATATAGACGCGATAGATCCAACGTCTCTTGTCTCATTTAACTTTATCTTAAAATCCTTCATAGGATTCTGATCAAATGAGTTTCGCTTGTCAGGAAGCTCATTATTTGTCTATCTCTCTCCACCTACAAACAACACTTTGATTGGGGACAGTCTTGACAATATATGTTCGAGCTAAAACTAATTTTAAAATTAACCATATATGTAAATTTTAATTTTTAACCTTTAAAGGTATTTTGAAATTCTTGTGGTTGGAGGGCACAATTTTGACAAATTGAAAATAGCGTGTGTGTTTGTGTGTGTTACTAGTTTATCACTTATTGAGCCAATTCTCTTTTGCTTCAGCATTCATAGCAAAGTTCATGAGTTGGTACAGGAGTTCAGCTGCAAAAGTGACAACGCATGAGTGAACTTAGGTTCGGTAAATTGGGTAAAATATAGAAGATTCAATTTAAAAATCAAGTTATATATAAAAATGAATTTGCTGGGACAAAACTATACCTAGTATTATTCACAAAATTTGATTACCCCTTGTTTGGTTGATTGGGTCAAATAGATCAAAGAGTCCATTTAAAAATCAAGTTAGATGAGGATTGAACTTAGAAAAATGAAACAGCAAACCAAAACTATACCCGTCGTCGTCGTCGTCATCGTCATCGTCATCGTCATACTACTACTATCATCACTAGTTCTTAATATTAGAGCTAATTAGGAGGAAAATTGACTTTAAATATAATATCTCAATCATTTTTATCTTTTAAATTTATACTTTTTTTTTCAAAATATCTTTATTGATTGTGAGGATTCCTGCCAGTTAAAAAGTAGTTAAAATGTATATGGTTAAATATGATAGTTTAGTGAAGTCAGAATCTATTTATTTCAAATAACTAACTTAACTATTTTTTTTTAATATTTTAAAATTAATTATTTAGTTCTTATATTAAAATTTAGGGAAAATGACAACAAAATACCACCTGAATTTCAAAAAGACAAATAAGGCACCTGAATAAGTAAAATGACATATAGGGGACTGAGTACCAATCTGGAATTCAGATTTTTGGCCAAAAGACCAAAATGCCCTGTCTGAAAGTGAGAGGAAGGAGAGAGGAAGAAAGCGACGCAGTGAGAGAAAGGAGAGAGGAAGACCGACGGTGATGAAATGCGGGAAGAAGGAAAGAAGAATGTTGGAAATGCTATTATCTTACTTCTTCGCATTACCATTCTGTAGAGATTGTTGATTTGGTGGGTTTTGGTTGTGGGAAAGAGGATTTGTAGTGAGAGAGAGAGTGAACCTGCCGGGAAGATGAAGCAGAAATCAGAAAATAATGGCAAGCAATTACGTAACGTAACTGCTGTCATATGCCTGCTGGTTTTTGGTAAATCCCACTACGTGAATGGTAAATCCCACTACGTGAATGGTAAATTTTACTATACATGTAGTTAATTATGAATTTTACAAAATACATATTGTGATTTACAACTTTTGTAGTGAAAGTGACTACTTTGTTAATGGGTTTTGCAACCTGTTTTCAGGAGATAAACAACTTGTTTGTAAAAACTAATAAAATTTCACGCTAAATTTGACAAAACGTATAGTGGGATTTACAACTTCCATAGTAAAAATGACCACTTATTCAATGGGTTTTGTAACTTGTTTTCAGGAGATGGGTAGCTTGTTTCTAAAAACTAATAAAATTTCATACTAAATTTGACAAAACACATAGTGAGATTTACAACTTTCGTAGTGAAAATGATCACTTCTTCAATGGGTTTTGTAACATGTTTTCAAAGGATTGACAACTTGTTTCTAAAAGCCAATAAAATTCCATACTGAATTTTACAAAACATAGAGTGATATTTATAACTTTTGTAGTGAAAATTACCACTTAAATGAGTTTTGCAACCTCTTTTCAGGGGATGAGCAACTTGTTTCTAAAAATCAATAAAATTTCACGCTGAATTTTACAAAACACACAGTGATATTTACAACTTTTATAGTGAAAATGACCACTTCTTAAATGAGTTTTGCAACCTCTTTTCAGGGGATGAGCAACTTGTTTCTAAAAATCAATAAAATTTCACGCTGAATTTTACAAAACACATAGTGATATTTACAACTTTTATAGTGAAAATGACTACTTCTTAAATGGCTTTTGCAACCAGTTTTCAGGGGATGGGCAACTTGTTTCTAAAAACCAATAAAATTTCACGTTGAATTTTACAAAACATATACTGGGATTTACAACTTTTATAGTGAAAGTGACTACTTCTTTAATGGGTTGTTTTCATCGGAAAGGCAACTTATAAGTATAAATAAATCATTCAGTGAACGTGCACCTGAAGTACGTCACAATAAACATTGAACTATTAACTTTCATAATTAACTACATGTATAGTAAAATTTACCATTCACGTAGTGGGATTTACCATTCACGTAGTGGGATTTACCAAAAACCAACAGACATATGACAGCAATTACGTTACGTAATTGCTTGTCATTGTTTTCTGATTTCCGCTTCATCTTCCCCGTAGGTTTACTCTCTCTCTCACTACAAATCCTCTTTCTCACAACCAAAACCCACCAAATCAACAATCTCTATAGAATGGTGATACGAAGGAGTAAGATAATAACATTTTCAACATTCTTCTTTCCTTCTTCCCGCATTTCATCACCGTCGGTCTTCCTCTGTCCTTTCTCTCACTTTCAGCGTCGGTCTTCCCCCATTTCATCAGGGCATTTTGGTCTTTTGGCCGAAAATATGAATTCCAGATTGGTACCCAATGCCCTATTTGTCATTTTGCTTATTCAGGTGCCTTATTTGTCTTTTTGGAATTCAAGTGGTATTTTATTGTCATTTTCCCTAAAATTTAAGTTTAAAAGCAGTGTTACATTATTATTTGGGGTGTCGGCAGAAAGATGAGCTTTCCCCATGCTGGCTGCCACAATCATGAACCAACGTCTCCACGCGTGTGCTTGGATGTTATAATTCAATGATGAGACAAAAATACGAGAGGCAGGCCATAAAGCGGGACAAATGACGGTAAAAAACGAATAAATCAGGATCTCATCATTTCGATCTCCACGGATCTAAGTGGGAAATAACTGTACCACGTGGCAAAGCTCCGCAAATTTCGGGAAAACAACCATTAGATCTTTCAAGTTGCTTTACGCCACTCCAATTATTGAACTCCACCTCCAGTAAAAAGTAAAAACTCTTTAGGTTATTATACTTTCCCCATTCAAACCTACCAATCAACCCTATCTCTGTATAAAAGCCATAGACGTTGCTTCATGGTGGTGAGTACTCATCACTCGAAAGCTCTCTCTTCTCTGTATTTCCCCTTGATTCTAACTTTCTTGTTCATCAGCCTTTGAGTTTCGTTCATGGATCAGTACCAAAACCACCAACATTTTCCTGACGATGATTCCATGGATCCTGACAAGTTCATCGAGAGCTTCAACTTAGCATCATGCGCGGAGGAAAAAAGGCATGAGTTTGATCTCCAATATTCGGTGTCTTACACACAAAGACTGATTCAGGAACACCTGGGAATTTCTGTAGTCCAAGATTTAGCGTTTTCTTCGTCAGCTGCTTCATCTTCGTTTCAGATGCTCCAACAAACCATCGATCAGTTGGCTCCTCATCATGCTGGTTCTGAGCAGAACATGCCTCAGTTTTGGAAAGACCTTATCAAAATGTCTGATCCTCAAGTTCGCCAGAAGCCTGCTGCAGAAACATCACTTGGTATGGTTTCTATCTACATTTTGCTTTTCTTGTGTTGTCTACTGATAGATCTGTTGATATGATTGTTCCTATAAACAAAATTTAATCCCGGGTTGATTTAAACATATCCAGCTAGCCCAAATTTGTATATATTGTGCATGATTATTCCAGCATAATATATGGTCAAACGAGTGACATTGGAGCCACAGATGCTCACCTCAAAGAGGCATGAGGATGGATGCTGCTACATCTGTTTCTCATCTCTTTTTTGAGACAAGCACAGTAAACGCATAATGTCAAATGCATTCTTCACCTGAAATCTTTCTAATTAGAAGATCTAATTTTGATCTTCATGTGGAAGAGGTATACATACTTTCTTTAGTTTGTCTTCTTCTGCTATGTTTTCCTAATTTGTGACGCTTTTACTGCTTTTGATGCATACAACGGACTATAAAATTGTGCTTTAATTTGTTTTTCTTAAACTCTCATCCAGAATATGTCGGTCAGAAATAATTAATGTATTTAAGAATAAATCTTCTAATTTGACTAAATATTCTAGAAGCTAGATAGCTAAAAATAGCTAAGTGCTAAGTTAGGTTAGACTTTAAATTATGCATAATAATTAAGTAGTACATCCCTTACCTTAAATTCAGATAAGGATTTGCCAAACTAACTAACAATTGTTGAATTTAGCCATTTGGGGCTAACTTAAAAGGACCAACAAATTCACCCTAACTTGTATATGTGTGTGCGAGAACTATTTGCGTGTTTACCAATTATCATTCATATATGCATTCACGTGATGGAAAATTTTGTTGTCTATTTTACCATATAGCTTCTAATTTTGTCTTTGTATATATTTACCGATTATTATTTTATTTAATAATTTAAGATGCTGATACTTAACAATGCCACAGCTAGGATTCTGTGAAGTAAATTTGCTTCAAAGTGATGAGAGAAAATGAGAGGCATGCCACAGTTTGGGTTCCTCTCAGTTTTCATATCTCTCACTGTTACTTCAAAGGATCCAGATAACATCAGTGCATATCAGTACTGCAAAACACACCTATTCTCAGATAAAGCAAAGGACTTTGACTAAAAGGCCTGCAAAAGGAGAAGAGTCAAAAGCCTCCAATGGAGACACAAATTACTCTCAACTCTCATCAGATCTGATCCTTTCAGATATTTGCTACACCATCTCTCTTCAGTCAGATACTTCTTCTGATCTGTACGGAAACTCTGATCATGATCACTCACTCTACCCGAACCATTTTGAATTCATACGCTCTAACCGCTTCAACTGAATCCAAGGTAAAGTTTTTACAAGCTTATCTATATTTGGTAAGAAGTGGTGACAGGATTTTATTAGCTCATGCGAGTTTAAGGTAGGCAGTCTTTATCGTTCATATGCATGTCAGACTTGTTACGTTCTTCACCAACTAATTTGTCATACCATTTTTATGCCCATGACAATAGTGATGATGTTATTATTTTGTGTCAATTACATAGCAAGTTCAAATTAATTCAGGTTTTATCAGTTTAGAAGAATATTGATCTCATCACTGTTCTGTACTTCTCTTTAGTTATTCTTGGAAGCATTTGCATGTACAGGATCTAATAAGTTGAAGCAGTTGGAGATTGTTGGTGTACAAGGAGAGAGAGCTCAAGATCTTAATCCTGCCATAATCAATTCCAATCCTTCCCATAATTTATCCACAACAAGATCCCTCACAGACAGTTCTGGCAATGTTATCGTCACTTCTCCACACCCCTCTGTTGATAATTCTACAAGGCCTAATGTTTCCTCCATGGAAAGTGATAGTTACGTCCTTGATATGCCCATAACCCCTTCTCCATTACCACCACATGAAGATAATAACAGACTAGGCTTCACAGTTTTGATTGTTGAATGTGTAGGTGCTCTGACCAATCTTAATGTTTCATCAAAACCAAAAAGTGACCAGGTTCTGGATTACGTTGTGGTGGCTTGTTTTGCACTTGCCTTCCTTATTTCTTCAACTGCTCTTCTGTTGCATAAGAGAAAGCCTGCGATTGCTGAGTGGATGCAAAAAGCTGCGTTTGTGATTGGGACTTTTGGATTCATGGGAATAATGGGCATGCTTTTGCCTTCAACAATCACTTGGTGCTTCACTATTTTTGCCTTCTTGCTTTGCATGTTAATGTTTGCTGTTGCAAATTGGATTGAGTGAGTGGAATCCAGTTGAACTCACACGTGTGACTCTGCATGCTATAAGTAACTATTATCGTTGCCCCTTTTTCTTGGTTCTTAAGATGTAAAGTAGTCTCTATGATTCTCGAGACGAGTTATTTTGAATTTTATATGTTGGTTACTACATATAAATGGGTCAGAAGTACTCTCTGTTTTGACATGTGAGTTAATGATTACACAGGAGAGAGAGAGAGAGAGAGAGAGAGAGAGAGGAGGCGAATGGCACTTAGCGTCGATCATCTGTTGAATTAAATGAGACTTAATTATATGTCAGTATCTTTCTTTCGCTGCATGAACTGCATAATTTGAATATGATCTGTATGTTGATCAAGATCTAAGGAGACAAGTAAAGATCTGTATGCTGTGGTGGGCAGATTGTTCTACACTTGAATTCCTTATTTCTTCAACCGCTCTCCAATTGCATATAGATTTAATTGATCTAGATTTTTTATTTTAATTGGTATTGGTTAGAGTTGGTGGATTTAAATGAAAACTATGAGAAGGGAATCAAAGTCCACGAAAGATGACGACCAAGGAACAAATTTTGTCATGCCGTCCTATAATAGAACAACATTGAATATATATTTATATATGTGTGTGTATTAGAATAATGCAAGTGAAGCCAGGCGAAGATAATTGTCCTTTATACAATATTAAATAATACTCTGTTTACTTCTGTTTTCTAATATTGAAAAAAAAAAGAGATAAACATCCTAACAAGCCAAGGAAGAAACAGAGATGGCTGGCAAGCCAACTCATACATCTCTTATTGAACATCCGCTAAATTTGATGTTATATCTTTCGACATAAACCAAACAAAATAATAATAATAATAAAAAGCATTATGCATGTGTGTGTGTATTTGACTGTGATCCAACATGGAGCAAATAAGGATCCTACCTAAGCGTCTTTTGACACTGCTAGTCACATAAAATGCAGCATAAGATGACAGATGGTGGATTGCCAACTTTTCCTAAAATCTGGGGACTAGTGTTAGAAAATAAAAAAGAAAAGCTATGTATATGTTCTTCGAGACATTCAATTCATGATTCTCTTGCTAACATCTCCATCATGCACCTAATAGATAACTTTATTTTTCACTGCCAATTCACATGCAAAAGTAACTATAATTTCCACTCGATTAACAAGCTCATCAAGTTCAGCATCAGTAAAATCATCAACCATGGTTGCAGGAGGTTGAATGAAAGCACCAATGTAACAGTTAAGAGAACACATCCAAAATGGAAACAAAATGGTATTATAATGTTAAGCTTTCAACAGCAGTACATAAGCATAAGGGAAAATCGACAGCCACAGAGTTAGGATAAGTTACAGAGAAAAACAGAAGAGACAAGTAGAGAGTACTGAAGGAAAAGAAATCCAAGGAAGAAGAGAAGCGAGAGAGAAGTCGTTTTCATCAAAATTCTTCACTGCCCCCATACCTTCATTTTGCTCCACTATATACCCGAGTCCCTGCAAATTAGCCCATACTCCTTAAGCCCAATACTAACATCTGTTGGCCCATGAGTTGTTTCCAGTCCATTCATTACAGGTTTGCTTTCGAAAGTTTAGAGGATGTAATTAAATTTAAGGAAAAAACTAAGAAAAAAACCTAAGCTCAAGTTTCTTATATATATTATGTCCAGTTCTCTAATCACACAACATCATTTTTTTTGGTTACATATGGATCTATAATTAAATATTGATATTTAAAAAATATGACACGTGCTTATATTTGATCGGAGAACTTGACATTAAGAAACTTGATGTAGGCATTGTTTTTAATTTAATGCAACAATTATATTAACAAACGAAAATACAAAATGAACAGATGAAATTACAAATGAGGAGAAGTATGAAGAGGATTCCAATAAGGGTTGATGTTAGTAGAACAGGCTTTAGCAGCTTTAATTTTCATAGGGTTAAGGTATACCCAACATTTCAAACTATTTTTTTAAGCGCACTCCGTATACTAAAGTTAATTGTAACGCAATTTCACCCCCAAAATTATTTTATATATAGCGGATCGTCACCGTGTTTTCTTGGACATGTCAAGGAGTTCAAGTGTGAAAGTGCCAATAACAAACAAAAACAATGTAAACAAATATCCATTGTCCACTTTTGCTCTATCATTCTTTGATTCCTTTTTTTTTTTTCAATTAAAAGAATTAGGAAAAAGTTATTCATTAAGAATTTTGGAATGGAACCAATCCCTACTTCCATGACCATTTAACTTTTGTCGATTCCGTGGCAACAATAGGGTTCTATTTTCGTGTTCAGCTTAGATAAGTTAATTATAGTCATCTGAATAAATTAAAAGAGATTCCTAAATCGGTGAATATTATTTCTTTCCCTTTCCCTCAGAAACTCTTTCTTGATCGCCTTTGTTTTAAATAACTCTTATCTTGTGCTCCCTCTTGTTTTCATTTTAATCGCCATATATATGTGTGTGTATTCATCACATGACTATTGACCGATATATATTTAAATTATTTATTTAATAAAAGGACATCTACCTCACAAGTCACAATCTCAAGTTCCCCACCTGAGTCATATTTAAATTGGAAATTAAAAGTTTAGCTGTCCACTGTCCCGTGTTTCATCTTTTTAATAAAAAAAAAAAAACTCCTTGATAAAAATACTTTATAAATATGAAATAAAATAAATATTTAAAACTTATAATAAAATTTAATTAAATCTCCCACTATTTTTCCCGCGTGAGGGAAAGAGGAAGGGAGCTTTCCGTTTGCTTTTGTTTTTGCACCAAACGGGTTTGACCTTATTGATGGCCCAATGCTTATTTCATACCAAGCCCACATCTGGCCCATTCCACTCAAAATCTGTATCCTTCATTACATTATATCCTCAAGTTTTAAACTCACGATTTTAAATTCACCTTAAAATTCCTTACTTTTTTTTTTTTGTGAAATAAGTTCATCTTAAACGTAACTTTAGTCAAATTAATCCTTAATTGATCCTTATTTACACGAGAGGCTTGCCAAAAGGGAAAAAAAATGATATTGCGTAAAATGAAAATTTATAAGATTTATGTTACAGATCATCAAAGTAAAACGAAAATTTTGGGTGTGGTTTTTTTCTCTACCGAATTAAAAGGAAAAAAACTTGGCCATGTTAAAGATCATTTATGAAACCCAATTTTCGATACATAATATTGAACGAAAAAAATAAAATGATACTTTTCCCCCAAGTAATATGTCATGCCATTTTTATGCTCCATGATAATAGTGATTGAATTACTTTGCATAAATTTCATAGTAATTTCAAATTAATTAAGGTTTTATCAATTTGGAAGTATATTCTCACCACTGTTCTCTGCACATCTGTTTAGTTATTATTCTTCAACAAGCCGAAAGAGTTAGAGCCCTGGGGTACATGTCCAAACCCCCCCGTTTCTCCCGATATCTTAGTCCAACAAGTTAATCCTACCAGTCCTAATGTTATGTTATCCCCAAGGCAAGTGATACTTACACAATTAATATTCCTATGACCCCTTCTGCGTCACCACCACATGAAGATAACCAACTAGGCTTCGTAATTTTTGCTGTTGAACTTGTAGGTTCTCTGACTAGATCTTGCTGTTTGTTCAAAACCAAAACACAACCAGGTTCTGATTTATGTTGTGGTGGCTTGGTCTGCACTACCATTCTCTGTCTCTTCAATTCCTCTGGTGTTACATAAGAAAAGGCCTAAGAAAATCTACATTTCTCATTGGCAAGCACGCTAGCTAGGATTCATAGGAATAATGGGCACGCTTTTGCCTTCAACTATCACTTGGTGCTTCACTATCTCTGCCTTCTTTCTTTGCATGTTAATGTTTGCCAAATTTGCTTCAGTGAGTGGAATCCACTTGAACTTGCATCTAACTATGAGAAGAAAATTTTTAAAAAAATTTTGAGGGGGCATTTTAGCCTCCGTTACGCATCTTATGATAGAACCAATCATTCAGACATGCGCATTAAATAAATAAGAATGCTGCAAGTGAAGCCAGACGAAGATAATTGCTCTTTGTACAATCTAAAATGATGCTCTGTTTAGCTCTGTTTTTTATTATAAAGAAATAGAGATAAACTTCATAACAGCTAAAGATAATGGCTCTGTCATCACATTTTAATCAGTTGCCAGTGGTCAGATACATGTCAAGAACTTCTAATGAGACTTATACATTAGCATGAAGGTAGGGGAAGCTAAATTTTTTGAAAAATTGTTGCCATTAAGCTTCTTGGGTATCAATTAAAAAAAAAAAAACTATCACTGCAAAAACAAACCCAATTGACAACTAAAAACACCTCTGTTTACGTTTATATATTTGAATATGCACTTGGTAGAGCTGGTTTCACATCCAAGAATACTTATACAATATTTTTCATACAAAGAGACATTCAGTACATGATTCTCTTAATAGCGTCTTCATCATATACCAAATAGACAACTGTGTGTTTTACTTTCAATTCACAAGCAAAAGTGACTATAACCTCTACTCTGTTACCAGTCTCCAAATTAGAGATGATGTCTTGCCAATTATCCTCATCATTTGAAGCAGTTGTCGCATATTTCTGGTACAATTTAATAGTGCCCTTTGTATGATTTGATACCAGGACACCAACAGGATAATATACAGACGTCATGTTGTCTTGAGAAGACAAATAGATTATGCACAGAATCAATCCTTTCAAGCTTCTGCCAGTAATTTTAGGAACTTCAAAGCATATTGAAGATCCTTCACCTTTGAAACTCCGCCAATGAGGATAATTGTCTCCGGGAAGAGAATTAACTCCAAACCCTTTCTCATTCCATCCCTAAGTCGTGAACATAATAGAGAAGAAGCCAATTAACCTTTAAAGACCAATAGGTTAAATGCCTTTATTGCTTAACTCAACATGGTTGAGAATGAGGTTCGGATATTAATTGATTGGGGTAGATTTATTTCCGAATCAATTGAAAGTAAACATTTTCGGATGAAGGCATACAGTACAAACCAATATTTGAATATGTAGTGTAGTATGCTTTAAAATCTTATTAAACATGCATAGCCTATTCAAAGTTACATGTTATTTTAAACATAATTGGCAGTTTCTAGATGCCTTCTAAACACTTAAAAAGCATAGTTAATGTGAATTATTATGCATTTACACTTGCTCATAGATCATTATAAGTGTACGCCTCCCCTAAACTACATGATATTAATAAAAGCACGCATTGAACTTTTAAGTTAAACATGTACAAAAAAGGCATTCTTTTGAAACCTAACTAAACTATGCATGGTGGCAGTAGAGAGATAAAGAGAATAACCTGTGAAATGCTCCTTAAAAGTGAGTCAATAACTTTGTTGAACTCGCCTACATGAATTGTTATAGAACTCATGAATGTTTCTGATCTTTCCTTGCGAAGTTGCTCGCCAAAACCAATCAATGCTGGAGTCTTTTTACATGAAGCTTGAGATGATCCTTGTTTTGCTTTAAATATTTCACAACTTTTGGTAAACAAAGGATGTGAAAGAATCTTGATTAACGATGGCATGATCCTAAATGCTTGAAACAAGGACTTTGAATGATTTGTTGGGGGCATCCAAGACAAAATAAGAGATGGAAATACATCACGTGACAATCCTTCATAACCACATAAAGAAACATATTTAATGTTCTTCAATCTCACTAATGAGATGGGTGCTTGTGTTATGGCAGTTTGAGTTGCCACCAAAACCGTTAAGGATTCCATTTTTTCAATGTCTTCATCCAACCTTTCAATCTTTGAACAACCAAAAAGATTGAGAGTTCTCAAAGATGTCAAGTCATATATACTTCTTGGGAGATGCTCTAAGCCAACGCAATTTTTCAAATTCAACATAATAAGATGCCTAAGATTTCCAATGGAAGGGTGTATCATAGACAAACGTGGACAGTCTTTAAGTATCAGCTTCTCAAGATGTGGTAATTTTGAAAAGTCAGGTGTTTCTGTTAGGCAATGAGAATGACTCAAATTGAGAGTTTTCAAGGATTCCAGCACCTATACAAAGAGATTATTTCAAAATAAAAATCATAAATAAAATAATATGAAAAGTAACACAAATCCTGTTACTGATATTTTTAATTTCAAAGGTTCATTCCAAATACCTGACTTTTCTCCCACAATTTTGTGAGATTACTCCACTTTAAGTCAATGGCGACTATCTTCTTTACATTAAAGTCTGTTGGCAAACTCTCCAAGAGAAATCTACGCCAACAAAGCCATCTCAATTCTTTTGATAGATAATCATATTCTCCATTAAGCTGTACATTATCAAGATTGAGTAAATGAAGCCTCTTCATATTCTTAAACGCATTTGTACTCAAGGATATTGAATTGCTTCTCGGCATGTTTAATGATAATCCCTTGGTAGCTATTGTTCCCTGTGAAATAGGAAAAGATGAGAGAACAAAAACAATATAATCTATTGTTAGTAACTCAAGGAGTGCATAATGAATGATGAAGAAACAAATATATATTAAGTTTTAAATGCAAGAAAACTAATAATTTGTGAAATTAAACATTCTTACAGTGTTGTTTTCTAACACTTCCAACACCTCATCATTAAAACACAATCTTGTACGCTTTTCTGGCTCCTCTGGTGATTGACCACGTATTATTTCTCTTCCCATATCACGTAGTAAGTCATGCATATCAAGTATGCTTTTGTTTCCAGATTTTACAACCTTTACTAGGCTTCGCTCAATTAGATGGGTAATTCCAGTTTCTGCATGAAGTCCACAACCGTCTAATACCTGAATAGCATAGCTTCTATCTTTCCCAATGAAAAAACAACATATGTCCAAGAAAAGCTCTTTCTCTATTTGTTCACTCAAACCATCATAACTTATTTTTAGAATTTCATATATTTTACCATCTGGAATTCGTTCCAATTTACTCAAAGTGCTTTCCCAATAAGGTATTTTCCTATCAAACAAATATGAGCCAAGGATTTCAAGAGCCAGTGGCAGACCTTTACAATATGATACTACCTTTCTTGAAAGATCAATGAAATTTCCTTCAGGAAGCGCTTGTTTAAAAGCATGCCAGCTGAAAAGCTCAATAGATTCGTTATCATCCATTCCCCTCACATTAAATACTTTATCCACTTGAAGGATTTGAAGTAGGCGTTCATCTCTTGTAGTGATAATTATTCTACTACCTTGACCAAACCATTGACGACTGCCACATAAAACTTTGAGTTGGTCTTCATTATCCACATCATCCAATATAAGAAATACTCTTTTTTGATAGAGACTTTGCTTGATTATAGATTTTCCTATCCCTACATTCAGTAGGTTGATCCTTCTTGTTCTTAAGATGCTAGAGAGAAGTTGTTCTTGCAAATAAACTTGACCATTGTCTTGCTTCCATACTTCCCTAATATTTGCAAGGAAACTCTTTCCTACAAAACTTTGCCCCATTTCATTATAGATAGTTTTAGCCATCGTCGTCTTACCAATCCCTCCCATCCCCCAAATGCCTATTATGGTAATCCCATTTGATTCACTTAGAAATTGGATGATATCTTGCACGCGAGACTCTAAACCAACTGGATGGTGAGCAACGAAAATATATTTCCTATTGTCTATCCTCATTGTGATAGTTTTAACAACATCATCAAGTAACTCGGCCTCAGTTCTGGCAACATCAAGAAATTAGATTACTAGAATTCTGCCAAGAATCAAAAGTGCATGGTATAAAACTGTAATAGCAAGAACATGATTGACATGTATAGTTAGCCATAATAAGAAATAAGAATAACATGTTCGAAAATGACCAATTTTTGCTGCTAGATTTCATCCTTCTGTTCTTGTATTACCTATATTCCATCATTGATTAGAACATCAGTTATTTTCTCTTTTAAGATAACTAGAGTCAACTCATCTCTTATGGCCTAAGTATAGAAAACTTGAGCTCGCAAAATTCATATAGTGTATTATGCTTGTCTATATACCATATTACTCTGTGCATATATTTAATGTTCCTTTGGTTTTTAAGTAGGTAAGCATGTAAAATTAGCTTAGTCATGAATCTACGTTCGTTACAAACAAAATTATGGCATTCAACATACATACACACAGAAAAGTGAATTTAAGAAATTTAACTATTTTTTTTGGGCCAAAAAAAGGAATTTAACTATTTCAAATAATAAGTAAAGAAGACAATAGTACCTGTAGTTTTGCGTATGCCACCCTGACAAGTTAGCAACCTCAGCGAGGACTGTCTTCAAATTGTTTGTCGATTTTTTACCTTTACTACTTGAGGGTCTTGTTATAAGCCTTTCCCATGCTTTTCCAAAGGCATTTTGTTGTTTGCGAACATCAGATGGTTGCACATCATAGAATATAGGAAAAACCTCATGATCAGTTGTTTTGTAACACTCCATGATTTTCTCTAATTCTTGCAAGCACCAATTAGAGTCAGCATAATTTTCTGAGAATATAATAATTGAAATTCTAGAATTTTCAATTGCTTGCAGTAATGAACCTGAAACTTGTTCTCCCCTTTCAATTCTCTCTTCATCCATGAAGACTTCAATTCCTGCTTGTTTTAGAGCATTATAAAGATGAGTAGCAAATGATTTACGCGTGTCTGCACCTCTAAAACTTAAGAACACGTCATAAGTATGTATGAAATTTTGCTTGTTTGTTGGTGCGATTTCCCTTCCTATTTTTTGCAGCAGGTCATGCACATGAATCTTGTCATTGATAACCTTTACAAGGCTACGCTCAATAAGTACTTGCATTGCCATTTCTATGGGCAATTTTCTGTAGCTCTTTTTGGCCAACAATGGGAACCTTGAGCTGTTTTTGGCCAACAAGGGGAATCTTGAGCTCTTAAACAAATTTATAACATAACTTTTACTCCGTCCCACATAAAAGTGTGCTATATCACAAAATAATTTCTTTTCTGAATCTGCTAAAAAGTCTACACTGATTTTAAGCTTATATTGTATTTGGCCACCTGAAACCTTTTTTAATTTATTCAATATCTTTATCCACTCTGATTTTGTCTTATTATGTAAAAGAGAGCCTATGACTTCAAGAAGCAATGGTAGCCCTTCACATAAAGTAATTACTTTCATAGAAAGATCCACAATATCATTTGTTGGACCAAAGTTTTTGAATGCATGCCAACCAAAAAGCTCTAGAGACTCACGCTCGCCCAACTTTTCCACTTCATATGAGATGTCAACAAAGTCATCAAGTAAATCCTTATTTCTTGTTGTAATGAAAATCAAACTCCCTTTACCAAATTGCTCTATATTTCCAGACAGTTTAATGAGTTGACTTGCTTGGTCTACATCATCAAGCACAATTAGGGCTCTTCTATACGATCCCTGATTAATAGGTTTCACATGAATATCTGAAAGAAGTTGCTTTTGTAGAAGAACTTTACCATTCTTGTTCTTCCACACATCCTTGATATTAGCAAGGAAACTTTTGCAATTAAAATGCCCACCAATTGAATCATAAATAGCTCTGGCAATGGTGGTTTTACCAATACCTCCAACCCCCAAAATTCCGACTATGGTTGTACTTTCCTCACTGTGGGATTCCCAGCCTAATCGGCGAAGCACTTCTTTCACACGAGATTGAACCCCTACCTGTGATATGGATTTTGCGATGAGGGTATGGACTACTTCTTGGTCCCTGGCGGCAAATTAAAATTAGAATTAGATTAAAAATTAATAGATCCAGGTACATGTGATGAAAAATGATCCTCCTGTACTAAATATAGTACCTAATTAACTTATTTGAGTATATTAAAGATATTAGTTAATATAACATGTCTTTTCTAACATACCCTAAGTATCTTCCATAATCCTCTCTTTCCTTTTCCTACTTGATTATTATTAATTAGAAAATAGCAATAGGGCTAATGTGAAAAAAAATTGATAAATATGTGAAATAGATCTTGTATATAGGACCAATATCAACTCCTCAATTAGGTCCTATATTAAGGATTAGATGAGTATATTATATATTCATGTATATGAAAATGTGAGAAAATGACCAATATGCCATTATGTGACATAATATATAAAGAAGATAGACATAATACTACCTTTGGTATTTAATATAAGACCCTGTTTGACTTTTATTTTGGTTATAAATATAAGACTCCAATCTACTTTGTCTCTCATATTTATATATTTTTTTTTCCAAAGTAGCCATTCTAACTATGATAGTTCTAGTCAATACATTTGATTAGCAAGGATATTTTAAGAAAGACAACACCTATTTAGGACAAATAACTAACTTAACTTACTTCCTTAATATCCTCAAATTAGTGAACTGGCTCTTATAATTAAGAATTGCAGAACTCAAATTAACAACTTTTGAATCGAAAATGACGCTTGTCATTAGAATATAACTTGTGAATTGAAAATAACAATAACAGAACTCCAATTAACGACTTTTGTATAGAAAATTTTAAGTTTTGAATTAGTAATCAGAACTTGTCTTAGGATATAACTTGTAAATTGAAACTAATAGGTTGTGAATTGAAAATAACAACAATAGAACTTGAAAGAACTCAATCCAAAAAAAAAAAATTGAAAGAACAACTTGGTCACACAAGGATATTTTAGTCATTTCTCCATGCTTTCATAATTTTAATTTAGGTTTCTTCTCCTTTCTCGTCATTTTGAAACGTTAGCTATCTTTTTTAAATTTCCCGTATTCAAGATTCTTTTTTTGTCACTTTCACTTTTATGTTTTTGTTTTTTTGCCATTTAGCCATGGCGTCAGCCCTGATCCAAGTCTAAATATCAATTGATCTGATATGGACCACCTATTTTGTTAGTGGAGAGAGAAAAAGGCAGGCCACTGAGCTGCCAACATTAATTTGAGAATAATATATCAAATCAAAATGCTATTTACCAACCAAACAAGTCATACAGGTTTCCTATACAATTTATTATAAAGATAAAACTTTTTCGACTATTTTTTTTTAAACATATTATATAAGGAGAATTATAATGATGTTCTAATAAAATAAAATAACTACCAACAAGTTCTAATAACAAGTTAAATTGTCATTTTTTACTGTGAGACTTACCATTATAAACTATTTAAGTTGTTACTAGGATTTTTTGATAATTATGTTTGTTCTTTTAAGACTTGATTGCAATTTTTCATATTATCTACGTTGTGAATTTCATGAATTCTAGCAGGCAGGAAAAAATCGCAAAACTGGAAAAGCCAAAAAGGATTAGTTGTTACCCAAAATCATGCGACAGTGTGAAGCCATAGCGAAGAACACTCAGCGTCGGCTCTTCGTTGCGAATTCCAATCGAAAATTGAATCACCAAATTTCCGTAATCTCAATCTGTAAGCTTTACTCAATTCACTGAGATTCACTCCATCGGGAATTCCTTCACTGCGAAGTTTTCGCACATAGAAACTCTCGAACTGCATATGGAATTCATTGTGGCTAACTCCATAGAACAAAGGAAGCACTGTTTTGGGATCCGACATTATTTTCTCCAATCTGTCAAGGCATATGTCGGACGCAACGAACTCTGGTGTGATTACCACCATCACAATTCTACACCTTTCTATCATCTCCCATCTGGAATAATCCCTGACCATGTCATGAACGTAAGTTTTCATTCCTGCGTCCCTCAAACAATTCTCAAGAAAGATTCTTAGACGATTTGCCAAACCATCGAAAGTGAAGAAGACATCGTACTCGAAAGTCAATTTGGGTTTGGACTGAGAGGATGATGAAGAGGCCAAAGAAAACATGGATTATTGATTGCTGTAGAGGAAGATATGAAGATTTGGGCGAATAATGGATTCCTCAAATCCCTTCTCTCTGGTAACGCCAGCTGCAACCGCCTTCTCAATCTGTTCTGTACCCTTAAGCTATATGAGCACCTTCGGCGAAGGTCACAGAGAGCGTTCCCTGATATGGACTTTGACAAAAATAAATAAATAAATAAATTTTTTTTTATATATGCAAACCTATTTGATATACTATATGCCATGCAGCATAGTACATTATCACAATTCCCCCCCCCTTTTAAAAAACAAAGCATAGTACATTATTACACTTCCCCTTTTCTAAAACAAACATCATTACATATTTCCCATCACACAATATTGTAAAAGTAATGCAGTGTGATGACTCTCTAATTTTTATGGATTTAGCTATATGAGACTATATGCCGTGGAGTAGTATTAAAAACATAAACAAAACTAGTTGTAGCAATAGCAATGGATGGCTCTAGATTTTTAGCGTGGCCGGGTCCTTATCTTTATTCTTTAGGGTCTTTTTTGAGAAAGAATATAATAAAGATATGGACTTCCCACATGCACATAAAAACAATTTTAAATTTTCACAGGAAAAAACAATTTTAAAATTTAGACAATATTAATGAATTTTAAAGTTTTCATTGTTTCCAATAAAAAATAGGGATAATGTGAAATTTTGTTCTAAAATTATTCAGCTAGGAGCTATGAGTGTCCGAAAGTTTTTAAGTCTCAGTTTTGCTCCGAAAATTATAAAAATAAAACAATGTCATCCTAACTCTTAATCTATTAATTTTGACTGTTAAATTTAACTAGACAACTTATGTGGCAATGAGGTGGCACAAATGCAGTAATGAAGGAAGAAAAAGATGGGCAAAGAATTCTCAAGTAAACAAGGAAGCAAAACCGCGTAATACTATCAGGTAACCCTAAGCCTAACGGGGTGCTTGATTAAATTCTGGGGAAAGGTCAGGGAAGCAAGCAACACCACACAAAAATCAAAATAGATTTGACAAGAATTAAAAGCGCAAATCAATACAGACGCACGCTTAGCTGGCCTTTTTACTAATATATATTGTAAACAGTAAAAAGTATTACCAAAACCAGTCAAAATTATTTATTAGAATACTATACTTAAAATCCATCATACCAGGAGTTTGTCACAATCTTAAAAGCTCCAGTAGGCTTTCGATCGGTTCCATCGTTATGATAAATTGCACCTCCTGTCATGGTGGAAATCAATACTTACAGTATCATATCTCCATTCACCATTAACAATATACAGAAAAACAAAAAGATTCCTAAGGTGACAATATTATAGAAGACAAACCGCACTGGAAAGGTGCGTATATATGTGTGGATATGAAGAGATAAGGAAAAAGGAAAAAGACAAATAATGATCCTAGAATATATACAATTTCTGTTTAGGTTCTTCAATTTACATAATTCTTGCTAGAGACCTGGTCCCAAATAATACTGATTAAAAGACAAAAACGTCCTTTTGCTTCTCATATTCATAGTCTCCAAACCCATCTTCTTCAGTGCATCTTCAACCTAGCTTAAGGATGAGTGTTGGCTAGATTGAAAAAGAAGGGCTTGGAGTCTGTAAATATGAAAAGAGGATATGAAAAGTAGAAGAGCATTTAAGTCTTTTAATCAATATTTCATAATTTCTATTTGGTATTGGATCCTGACAGGAATTATGTAAATTGAAGAAACCAAAAAGAAATTTTATATATTTTAGGGTCTTTATTTGTCATTTTTTCTAAGGAAAAGTCTAAATTAAATTCACCACAAATAATCAAAACTGAAATTATACATGCATGCATGTACCTTCGATTCTTCTTTTTAATTAAAGATGAGCATAATGGTCTTTTATCAACATTTATAAATTCCTAATTAGTCCTATTAGCATTATTAAGAATTTATTAAAAGTGTAAGTTTAAATTGAGAATTTTCAATTTTGACTGTATTTAATTGAGATCTTTTCATTTTAAAGTCTCAATTAGGGACTGTTTATTTTATCGAGATCACGTGCCTTGGGGTACTTTTCTAATATTGCATAATTTTGAGGGTATGAATTTTGGGGTACTTGTCTTGGATCACCAAAAAAAAAAATCATTATCTTATCTCTTTCCACGTGGAATCTGGGCCTCTCTTATTTCTTTGAATTATTAAGGAGATGTTAATGCAATAATCCTTTTTCCTTCGCTTTTGACCCGGTGAAAGAGATCAGTGAGGCCCAGATTCCAAGTGGAAGGACACGTGCAATGCGATCGTTTTGCCCTTTTTGCCCTTTGTTAACCTTGGTCTTTTTGTCTTCAAAGATACATTCGATGCAAAACATTAAAAATTAGGAACAAAAATTGAGATTAAGATTGGGATTAAGAAAATATATTAAAAAAAATATTTAGTATGAATGATTACTTATCATTTAGAATTAGACAAATCTATATATGTGAGATCAGAAAATACCATTTGAGTGATATTTCCCAATCCCATATAAATGGGATAGTCTAATATCATGTAACAAAATATTACTCATACTAAACATTTTTTAATGATTTTTCTTAATCTCAATCCCAACCCTTATATTTCATTTCCAGTATATCGTACCAAACAAGGTATCCACATGGGAGTCCACGTTGCATGCTCAGCGGATCTATGAGCACCTATAGATCATCCCGCAAAACGACGTGGTTTGGATTTAAATGACCAGCGGTTTTTCTTCGCTCTGCTCATCTTTTATCTTTGCTCCTCGTTGGTATCTTCACTCCTCGTTGGTATACTTGGCCCTTTTTTCCCTTGCAATTTTTCTCTTTCTCTACCATCTTCAAGACTACAACTCATAAATATGAATGACATTTCTCTTTCCCCCCCCGTTTGGATTTAAAGTGGCCAGTGTTTTCTTCTTTTTGCCCTCCTCCTTTTCTTCTCCTCTCTTTGCTCCAGTCCTCGATATCCTCACTCCCCACGTTCAGACTTGAAGAGTTCGAACTCAGTTCCTTGCCATCGCACTGTTATGATCGAACAAGTTGGACCATTTCGTAGATTCAAATATAGAGCTGATAACACAGGCTGGTTCGTCCATTATGAGCCGCCCACCACAGGTCAAGAGCCATACGAGCCGGTCCTAAAAAGACCGTCTTCATGCAAACTGATTTTTAGCCAACCTAAACTTGCTAGAGGTGGGTTGGCCTGCCAACTCCATACCCTTTTTTGTTACATTTATATAAATATATATATATTAAAGTTTTCAAATTAAATTACAAACTTTTAGAGACTAAATTCTATTTATTTTTATATTTTCATATAATTATATAATTAAAGTTATCTCAAAACTTACAAATATAAACATATAATTTATTTTTTATAGCTATCTTATCAATATAAAAATGATAAAATAATAAAAAGAATGAGAAATCAAATTTAGAATCAAAGTCTCCAATAAAATACAAACTTATATTTATTATACACGTACTAATCTCTTAAAAACTTTTTAATATGCAAGGGAAGGCCATAAAAAAACCATCTATGCATTTAATTATATCATTTGTGTCTACTATTAAATCTAACCCTGTCATAACTTGCATAAAACAAGTTATGTCTAACTTCAGCAACATAGGCAACAACTCTTGTAACCACATTACCACAAATTCTGTTATTTTTGTCCGTTCTTGAGGCTTATTTTCATTTTTTTTAGAGGGAAACACTGCCTGAAGAGACATAGATAGTAAGTATATATTTATATGTTATATAATAGACGAGTGTAAGAAAGACTGCATTCCTCTGGCCTAAAATAGATGAATATAAAAGCCCCTATTTGTCTGTTTTTGGAAGAAAATGTATGAAAAAAACGCATTCTTCCAAAACCCAAACTAACTATGCACTTGTGGTAGTAGAGAGACAAAGAGAATAACCTGTCAAATAGGCTTTAAAAGTGTATCAATCAATGGCTTCTAAAAACCAATCAATGGTAGAGTCTCTTTACATGAAGCTTGAGATGTTCTTGATATTGCTTTAAGTATTTCTCAGCTTTTGGCAAACAAAGGATGTGAAATACACTTGATTAATGATGGCATGATCCCAAATGCTTGAAACAAGGACTTCGAATAAGAGATGAGAATACATCACGTGACAAACATCATCCTTAGAGGCAAAGGCACATTGTGCATATCTTTAATGATTCAGTTGGTACTTTCGCCACTAAGATGTTTTTAAAATCTCATCCCTTTTTATCACAAACAAAATAAAGGAATTCAACACACACACACACACACATATAGAAAAAACAAACTCAAGGAATCTGACCACTGCAAATTCTAAGTAAAAGAAAATAACAGTACCTGTAATTTTGCATATAGAGCCTCATCAACAAGGCATTTTGCATCATAATAAATTAACCATATAAGCCTTTACTACTTGAGGGTCTCATTATGAGCATTTCCCATGCTTTTTTGTATTCGATCATTCGGAATTTTTTCATTTTGTTCAATACTCTTTTTCCCACTCTGATTTTGTCTTCTTTTGCAAAAGAGAGCCTATAACTTTGAAGTTAACTTCCCTTAATTGTCGCTTTGGGGTTACTCCAAAAATTAACCGAATTAATGCAATATAGTGCACAATCCGGGTCGTATTCACTTTGAGGAGCCAAAAATGAAATTAAACCCTAGTAAATAAATGCAAGTAACCTAAATTATAAAAAGGATTTTTGATTTGAGAATTTCTAATTAAAAACCATGAATTAAATTGAAATTAAAATACTTTTTTTTTGTTTTTATCTAAAAATGATTAAAATGAATGAAGATTAAAGAAATGAAAATGAAACACACAAATAACAATGATAACAATCAATCCTCCAATTCAACAATGTAGGCAATCATCACTCTAAAAGATGTGGGAGTTAAAAACAATGAATTAAGAATTATAATTAAGCTTTTGATCTAACAACCGAGCCACCTCGAGTTGCCACAAAATATTTTCCTAAAATCCCAACTTACTAACTGCAACCAGAATAGTAAAATGGGATAAGGATGCCAAAAACCAATGCTTAATTATAATTCTAAATTCAAAATAACAGAATTAAAGTTAGCAAGAGACAATATGATTCAAGATTCCAAGCCACCTTAAAAAATCACAATATATTAACTCCAAAATCAATATAAATGTCATGACCACAACATCATAATTTAAATCAAAGCTATAAACAACCCAATGTCAAATGCTAAACAATAATCCAGTCACAATAATCTTTAAATATAATCAGATTAAGCAATACAATTATCCCAACAATCAGAAAAACTATCCTAAGACCTAGGAATTGTTAAACAATTATTGAGTAAGAAATTAAAGCAACTAAAACTCCCCTTTGATGATCCAAGCTCCTGCCATTATTGTTGAATTGGAAGATTATGAAATCTAGCCTCGGTTTGCCATCAAAAATGCCATAATCAGAGCTCTGTTACGGTTTGCCATGGAAGCTCGACGGTGAGGGAACTGATTTCGTTGTCTCACTCCTTTTGGTTCCCTCAGCAGCGGCGAGCTCTCTGGCACCTCTCCTCTGGTGCCGTCGAGAAGGAGAAGAAGATGATGGATGGTGCCGCCCTCTGTGTTGCTCTGTTTTTTTTTTTTTCCTTCTCAGTCGCCGCCCAGCGTCTTCTCCCTCCGCGCCGCTTGCGTCTTTCTCCGCCTCAGCTCGTGTGGGTTCCGCGGATGAAGAAGATGAATAATAGTATATTAGGTTGGGGGCAAAACGCAACGTTTTGCTCCCTTTTTTTTAATTATTTTTTCATTATATTTTGTTTCTTTTTTTTTAATTTTTATTTTTATTTTTAAATCTTCTAAAAAACCTGCAAACAAAATTCAAAGATAAGGTAGCATTAATTGTCCTCAAAAATCAATTAGTCACAATTAAACCAAAATATGACAATTTTGCCCCTATAAAATAATAATTCAAAATAAAACATATTAAATCCATTAACAATCAATTAAGGTCAAAAGGGACTAATTAAGTTGACAAAACCCATTTAAAAGATATCAAAATATATAAAAATAATTGAGTTTGTCAAACTTCAAGAATTAGTGATAGCCCTTTCCATGAAGTAATTATTTTCCTAGAAAAATTAACGAAATACTTTGTTGGACCAAAGCTTTTAAATCCATGCCAATCAAAAAGGTAAAGAGACTCACCGTGGTCCAACTGTTCCACTTTATATGATATGTCAACAAAGTGATCAAGTAAACTCTTATTTCTTGTCATAACGAAAATCAAGCTCCCTTTACCAAATTGCTCTCTATTTCCACATAATCCAGTGAGTTGGCCTTCTTGATTTACATCATCAAGTACAATTAAGGCTCTTCTATAAGGTCGTTGCTTCACATGATTCTCTTGAATATCTGAAAGAAGTTGCTTTTGTAGAAGAACTTGACCATTGATGTTCTTCCAGACATCGTTGATATTAGCAAGGAAACTTCTGCAACTAAAATGGCCACCAATTGCATCATAAATAGCTCTTGCGATGGTAGTTTTACCAACACCTCCAACCCCCCAAATTTTGACTATGATTGTACTTTTCTCATTATGGTATTTCTCGCACAATTGATGTAGCACTTCTTTCACACGACGTTGCAACCCTACTTGTGATATAGCTTTTCCAATGAAGTTATTGACAACTTCTTGGTCGCTGGTCGCAAATTAGAATCAGAACAAAATTAATGGAGGTACATGTTGCGATAAAAAGATATATTATATATATCCACATATATAAGAAATGTCCAATTTCTATATATAATTTGATTAATTAACCAAAACCATACTTTCACGAACAAATAGTGTTGCTCATATAAATTTTAAGTGCTTTTTTTTAGCCTCATTAATACAGGAGAAAAATCATCATGCTATACATTCAGCAACCAAACACGTCCATATCTGGCTTCCTTCACAATTTATTATAGATATATAGATGTCATAATTTTTCCTACTGTTTTTTTTTGGGTGAATTTCATGAAAATTATTCTGGCACAGGAAAGTGAGAATCAAATCATAAACTGCAATGAGAGCCAAAAGGGATTAGTTATTACCCAAAATCAGGTGAGAGTGTGAAGCCATACAGGGAAGAACGCACAGCGTCAGCTCTTTGTTGCAAATCCCAATAGAAAATGGAATCTCAAATATTGGCTCTCCAAATTCATTCTCAAACCTTCGCGAATAGAAACTCTCGAACTGCAAACACACTTCTTTGTGGCGCACTCCATAGAAGAAAGGCACCACTGTTTTGGGATCCCATGACATATTCATCAGTCTCTCAAAACATCCGTCGGAGTTAACGAACTCTGGTGTGATTACCACCGCCACAATTCTACACATTCTTGTCATATCCCATGTGGAAACATTGACGATGTCGGCCATGAAAGTTTTGTACCCACCATCCTTAAAACAGTTCTCAAGAATGGTTCTTACACGATTTTCAAGACCATTAAAGAAAGTTAAGAACACGCCGTATTCGGAAGTTGATTTGTGTTGAGAGGATGAAGTGGCCAAGGAAGACATGGATTGATGATTACAGTAGAGCAAGATATGTGACAGGTTTGCTTTCAAAAGTTTAGAGGATGTAATTAAGTTTAAGAAAAAACCCTAAGCTCAAGTTTTTGAATCACCCATTATCATGTCTTTTCTTTTTTTTGTTTCATATAGATTTATAATTAAATATTAATATTTAAAAAAATATGACACATGCTTATATTTGATTGGAGAACTTGACATTAAGAAACTTGATGTAGGTATTGTTTTAATTTAATGCAACAATTATATTAACGAATGAAAATATTAAATGAACGGATGAAATTACAAATGAGAAGTATGAAGAGGATTACAAATGTTATTGTCACTTCTCCACACCCCTCTGTTAATAATCCTACGAGGCCTAATGTTCCCTCCATGGCTAGTGATAGTCACGTCGTTAATATGCCCATGACCGCTTCTGCATCACCGCCACATGAAGAAAATAATAACAGACTAGGCTTCACAGTTTTCATTGTTGAATGTGTAGGTGCTCTGACCAATCTTAATGTTTCACCAAAGCCAAAACGTGACCAGGTTCTGGATTACGTTGTGGTGGCTTTTTTCGCACTTGCCTTCTGCATTTCTTCAACTGCTCTTGTGTTGCATAAGAAAAGGCCCGCGATTGCTGAGAAGATGCAAAAAGCTGCGTTTGTGATTGGGACTTTTGGATTCATGGGAATAATGGGCATGCTTTTGCCTTCAACTATCACTTGGTGCTTCACTATCTTTGCCTTCTTGCTTTGCATGTTAATGTTTGCTGTTGCAAATTGGATTGAGTGAGTGGAATCCACTTGAACTCACACGTGTGACTCTGCATGCTATAAGTAACTATTGTCGTTGCCCCTTTTTCTTGGTTCTTGTCTTAAGATGTAAAGTAGTCTCTATGATTCTCGAGACGAGTTATTTTGAATTTTATATGTTGGTTACTACATATAACTGGGTCAGAAGTACTCTCCGTTCTGACATGTGAGTTAATGATTACACAGAGAGAGAGAGAGAGAGAGAAGGAGAATGGTACTTAGCGTCGATCATCTATTGAATTAAATGAGACCTAATTATATGTCAGTATCTTTCTTTCGCTGCATGAACTGCATAATTTGAATATGATCTGTATGTTGATCAAGATCTAAGGAGACAAGTAAAGATCTGTATGCTGTGGTTGGTAGATTGTTTTACACTTGAATTCCTTATTTCTTCAACCGCTCTCCAATTGCATATAGATTTAATTGATCTAGATTTTTTTTTTAATTGGTATTGGTTAGAGTTGGTGGATTTAGATGAAAACTATGAGAAGGGAATCAAAGTCCACGAAAGATGACGACCAAGGAACAAATTTTATCATGCCGTCCTATAATAGAACAACATTGAATATATATATATGTGTGTGTGTGTATATATATATTAGAATAATGCAAGTGAAGCCAGGCGAAGATAATTGTCCTTTGTACGATATTAAATAATACTCTGTTTACCTCTGTTTTCTAATATCAAAAATAAGAAAAAGAGATAAACATCCTGACAAGCCAAAGAAGAAACAGAGATAGCTGGCAAGCCAACTCATACATCTCTTATTGAACATCAGCTAAATTTGATGTTATATCTTTCGACATAAACCAAACAAAATAATAATAATAAGCATTATGCGTGTGTGTGTGTGTGTGTGTTTGACTGTGATCCAACATGGAGCAAATAAGGATCCTACCTAAGCGTCTTTTGACACTGTTAGTCACATATAATGCAGCATAAGATGACAGATGGTGGATTGCCAACTTTTCCTATACTCTGGGGACTAGTGTTAGAAAATAAAAAAGAAAAGCTAACAAAACTGTATATGTTCTTCGAGACAGTCAATTCATGATTCTCTTGCTAACATCTCCATCATGCACTAAATAGATAACTTTATTTTTCACTGCCAATTCACATGCAAAAGTAACTATAATTTCCACTCTATTACCAAGCACCAAATCAGAAATTATGTCCTGCCAATCGTCTTCATCTTTTGAACTAGTTGTTGCATCTTTCTGGTAAAATTCCATGGTGGCCTTTGTATGGTTCAATACCAAGATACTAACAGGATATACAGATGTCATGTTGTCTTGGGAAGACAAATAGATTAAATCACTTGTGTTTTTTACGCTTATGTGACAAAGGTTTTGTAATGAATGGACTGGAAACAACTCATGGGCCAACAGATGTTCGTATTGGGCTTAAGGAGTATGGGCTAATTTGCAGGGACTAGGGTTATATAGTGGAGCAAAATGAAGGCATGGGGGCAGGGAAGAATTTTGATGAAAACGACTTCTCTCTGGCTTCTCTTCTTCCCTGGATTTCTTTTCCTTCAGTACTTTCTACTTTTCTCTTCTGTTTTTCTCTGTAACTTATCCTGACTCTGTGGCTGTCGATTTCCCCTTATGCTTTTGTACTGCTGTTGAAAGCTTAACATTATAGTACCATTTTGTTTCCATTTTGGGTGTGTTCTTTTAATATTATACCACTAAGAATGTTGGAAGCAAAATGGAAACAAAATGGTACTATAATGTTAAGCTTTCAACAGCAGTACATAAGCATAAGGGGAAATCGACAGAGAAAAACAGAAGAGACAAGTAGAGTACTGAAGGAAAAGAAATCCAGGGAAGAAGAGAAGCCAGAGAGAAGTCGTTTTCATCAAAATTCTTCACTGCCTCCATACCTTCATTTTGCTCCACCATATAACCCTAGTCCCTGCAAATTGACCCATACTCCTTAAGCCCAATACTAACATCTGTTGGCCCATGAGTTGTTTCCAGTCCATTCATTACAGGTTTGCTTTCAAAAGTTTAGAGGATATAATTAAATTTAAGGAAAAAACTAAGAAAAACACCTAAGCTCAAGTTTCTTATATATATTATGTCCAGTTCTCTAATCACACATCATCATGTTTTTTTTTTTTGTTACATATGGATTTATAATTAAATATTGATATTTAAAAAAAATATGACACGTGCTTATATTTGATTGGAGAACTTGACATTAAGAAACTTGATGTAGGCATTGTTTTTAATTTAATGCAACAATTATATTAACAAATGAAAATACTAAATGAACAGATGAAATTACAAAGGAGGAGAAGTATGAAGAGGATTCCAATCAGGGTTGATGTTAGTAGAATGGGCTTTAGCAGCTTTAATTTTCATAGGGTTAAGGTATACCCAACATCTCAAACTATTTTTTTAAGCGCACCATGTGTCCTAAAGTTAATTGTAGCGCAATTTCACCCCCAAAATTATTTTATATATAGCGGATCGTCACCGTGTTTTCTTGGACATGTCAAGGAGTTCAAGTGTGAAAGTGCCGATAACATACAAAAACAATGTAAACAAATATCCATTCTCCACTTGTGCTCTATCATCCTTTGATTCCTTTTTTTTTTTTAATTAAAAGAATTAGGAAAAAGTTATTCATTAAGAATTTTGGTATGGAACCAATGCCTACTTCCATGACCATTAAACTTTTGTCGATTCCGTGGCAGCAATAGGGTTCTATTTTCGTATTCAACTTAGATAAGTTAATTATAGTCATCTGAAAAAATTAAAAGAGATTCGTAAATCGGTGAATATTATTTCTTTCCCTTTCCCTCTGGCAGCCTTTCTTGATCGCCTTTGTTTTAAATAACTCTTATCTGGTGCTCCCACTTGTTTTTATTTTAATCTCCATATATATATATATATATTCATCAGATGACTATTGACCGATATATATTTAAATTATTTATTTAATAAAAGGAAATCTACTTCACAATTTCAAGTTCGCCACCTGAATCATATTTAAATTGGAAGTTAAAAGTTTAGCTGTCCACCTAAAAAAAATCCTTGATAAAAATACTTTATAAATATGAAATAAAATAAATATTTAAAACTTATAATAAAATTTAATTAAATCTCCTACTATTTTTACCGCGCGAGAGAGAGGGCCCCCCGGGGGGGGAGGGCTTTCCGTTTGGTTTTGTTTTTGCATCGAACGTCTTTGACCGTGTTACTGGCCCAATGCTTATTTCACACCTAGCCCATACTTGGCCCATTCCACTCAAAATCTGTATCCTTCATTACATTATATCCTCGAGTGTTAAACTGGCGATTTTAAATTCACCTTAAAATTCCCTTCTTCTTTTTTTTTTTGTGAAATAAGTTCATCTTAAACGCAACTTTAGTCAAATTAATCCTTAATTTATCCTTATTTACACGAGAGGCTTGCCGAAAGAACAAAATGATATTGAGTAAAATGAAAATTTATAAGATTTATGTTACAGAACATTAAAGTAAAATGAAAATTTTGGGTGTGGTTTTTTTCTCTATCAAATTAAAAAGAAAAGGGAAAAAATTTGGCCATCTTAAAGACCGTTTATGAAACCCAATTTTCGATACATAATATTGAACGAAAAAAATAAAATGATACTTTTCCCCCAAGTAATATGTCATGCCATTTTTATGCTCCATGATAATAGTGATTGAATTACTTTGCATAAATTTCATAGTAATTTCAAATTAATTAAGGTTTTATCAATTTGGAAGTATATTCTCGCCACTGTTCTCTGCACATCTGTTTAGTTATTATTCTTCAACAAGCCGAAAGAGTTAGAGCCCTGGGGTACATGTCCAAACCCCCCCCGTTTCTCCCGATATCTCAGTCCAACAAGTTAATCCTACCAGTCCTAATGTTACGTTATCCCCAAGGCAAGTGATACTTACACAATTAATATGCCTATGACCCCTTCTGCGTCACCACCACATGACGATAACCAACTAGGCTTCGTAGTTTTTACTGTTGAACTTGTAGGTTCTCTGACTAGATCTTGCTGTTTCATCAAAACCAAAACACAACTAGGTTCTGATCTATGTTGTGGCGGCTTGTTCTGCACTTGCATTCTCTGTCTCTTCAATTCCTCTGGTGTTACATAAGAAAAGGCCTAAGAAAATCTACATTTCTGATTGGCAAGCACGCTAGCTAGGATTCATAGGAATAATGGGCACGCTTTTGCCTTCAACTATCACTTGGTGCTTCACTATCTCTGCCTTCTTTCTTTGCATGTTAATGTTTGCCAAATTTGCTTCAGTGAGTGGAATCCACTTGAACTTGCATCTAACTATGAGAAGAAAATTTTAAAAAAAAAATTGAGGGGGCATTTTAGTCTCCGTTACGCATCTTATGATAGAACCAATCATTCAGACATGCGCATTAAATAAATAAGAATGCTGCAAGTGAAGCCAGACGAAGATAATTGCTCTTTGTACAATCTAAAATGATGCTCTGTTTAGCTCTGTTTTTTATTATAAAGAAATAGAGATAAACTTCATAACAGCTAAAGATAATGGCTCTGTCATCACATTTTAATCAGTTGCCAGCCGTCAGATACATGTCAAGAACTTCTAATAAAACTCATACATTAGCATAAAGTTATAGGAAGCTAAATTTTTCAAAAAATCGTTGCCATTAAGCTCCTTGGGTATCAATTAAAAAAAAAAAAAACTATACTTCAAAAACAAACCCAATCGACAACTAAAAACACCTCTGTTTACGTTTTATATATTTGAACACGCACTTGGTAGAGCTGGTTTTCACATCCAAGAATACTTATACAATATTTTTCATACAAAGAGACATTCAGTACATGATTCTATTAATAGCGTCTTCATCATATACCAAATAGACAACTGTGTGTTTTACTTTCAATTCACAAGCAAAAGTGACTATAACCTCCACTCTGTTACCAGTCTCCAAGATAGAGATGATGTCTCGCCAATTATCTTCATCATTTGAAGCAGTTGTTGCATTTTTCTGGTACAATTTAATGGTAGCCTTTGTATGATTTGATACCAGGATACCAACAGGATAATATACAGATGTCATGTTGTCTTGAGAAGACAAATAGATTATGCACAGAATCAATCCTTTCAAACTTTTGCCAATAATTTTAGGAACTTCAAAGCATATTGAAGATCCTTCACCTTTGAAATTCCGCCAATGAGGATAATTGTCTCCAGGAAAAGAATTAACTCCAAAACCTCTTTCACTGCATCTCTAAGTCATGAACATAGAAGAAGCCAATTAACGTTGCAGACCAATAGGTTGAATGCCTTTATGGCTTAACTCAGCATGGTTGAGAATGAGGTTCGCTATTAAGTGATTAGGGTCGATTTATTTCCGAATTAATTGAAAGTAAACATTTCTAGATGAAGGCAAATACAGTACAAACCAATATCTGAATATGTAGTGTAGTATGCTTTAAAACCTTATGAGACATGCATAACCTAATCAAAGTTATATGTTATTTTAAACATAATTGACACTTCCTGGATGTCTTCTAAACACTTACAAAGCATAGTTAATGTGAATTATTATGCATTTACACTTGCTTATAGATTATTATAAGTGCACGCATTGAACTTTTAAGTTAAACATGTACGAAAAAGGCATTCTTTTGGAACCTAACTAAACTATGCATGATGGCAGTAGAGAGATAAAGAGAATAACCTGTGAAATACTCCTTAAAAGTGTGTCAATAACTTGGTTGAACTCGCCCACATGAATTGTTGTAGAACTCATGAATGTTTCTGATCTTTCCTTGTGAACTTGCTCGCCAAAACCAATCAATGCTGGAGTCTTTTTACATGAAACTTGAGATGGTCTTGGTTTTGCTTTGAATATTTCACGACTTTTAGCAAACAAAGGATGTGAAAAAATCTTGATTAGCGATGGCATGATCCCAAATGCTTGAAATAAGGACCTTGAATGATTTGTTGGGGGCATCCAAGATAACATAAGAGACGGAAATATGTCATGTGACAATCCTTCATAACCACATAAAGAAACATATTTAATGTTCTTCAATCTCACTAATGAGATGGGTGCTTGTGTTATAGCAGTTCGAGTTGCCACCAAAACCGTTAAAGATTCCATTTTCTCAATGTCTTCATCCAACCTTTCAATTTTGGAACAACCAAAAAGATTGAGAGTTCTCAAAGATTTCAAGTCATATATACTTCTCGGAAGATGCTCTAAGCCATTGGAGTTTTTCATATTTAGCATAATAAGATGTCTAAGATTTCCAATAGAAGGGTGAATCACAGACAAACCTCGACAATCTTTAAGTATCAACTTCTCAAGATATGGTAACTTTGAGAAGTCAGATGTTTCTGTTAGGCAGTGAGAATGACTCAAATTGAGAATTTTCAACCCCTCCAGCACCTATGTAAAGGGAATATCTCAAAATAGAAGTCACAATATAAAAAAAAAAAAGACAATAAAAATAGATGTAAAAATAACACATATCCCGTTACTAATGTTTGATCCCAGAAGTTCATTGCAAATACCTGGCTTTTCTCCCATGCTTTTGTTAGGTTACTCCACTTTAAGTCAATGGCAACTATCTTTTCCAGATTGAAGTCTACTGGCCAACTTTTTAAAAGAAATCGACGCCAACAAAGCCATCTAAGTTCTTTTGATAGATGACCATAGTCTCCATCAAGTTGTACATTATCAAAGTTGAGTAAACGAAGCCTCTTCATCTTCTTAAATGCCTTGGTACTCAAGGGTATTGAATTGTTTCTTGGCATGTTTAAAGACAATCCCTTGATAGCTATTGTTCCCTTTGAAAAAGAGAAAAACAAAAACTATAAAACTCACAATCGACAACTTATGGAGTGCACAATAAATAATGAAGAAACAAGTATTGAAATTTAAATGCAAGAGAATTAGTAAATTGCGGAAAAACATTCTTACTATGTTGTTTCCTAGCACATTCAACACATCATCATTAAACCATAATCTTGTACGCTTCTCTGGCTCCTCTGGTGATTGTTCACGAATGATTTCTCTTCCCATATCACGTAGCAAGTCGTGCATATCAAGTACGTTTTTGTTTTCAAATTTTACAACTTTTACAAGGCTTCGCTCAATTAGATGGGTAATTCCAATTTCTGCATAGAGTCCACAGCCATCTAGTACTTGAGTTGCATAACTTCTATCCTTTCCAATGAAAAAACAACATATGTCTAGGAATAGCTCTTGCTCCATTTTATCACTCAAACCATCATAGCTTATCTTTAGAATTTCATATATTTTACAATTAGGAATTTGTTTCAATTTACTCAAAGCATTTTCCCAATAAGGTCTTTCCCTGTCAAACAAATATGAGCCAAGGATTTCAAGAGCTAGTGGCAGCCCTCCACAGTATGATACTACTCTTCTCGAAAGTTCAATGAAATTTCTTTCGGGAAGTGCTTGCTTAAACGCATGCCAACTGAAAAGCTCAATAGATTCATTATCATCCATTTCCCTTGCACTAAATACTTTATCCACTTGAAGGATTTGACGTAAACGTTGGTCTCTTGTCGTAATAATTATTCTGCTTCCTTGGCCAAACCATTCATGACTCCCACATAAAACTTTGAGTTGTTCTTCATTATTGACATCATCTAATACAAAAAATACTCTTTTTTGACAAAGAATTTCCTTGATTAGAGATTTCCCCCTCCCCGCATTTGGTAGCTTGATCCGTCTTGTTTTGAAGATACTAGAAATAAGTTGTTCTTGCAAATAAACTTGACCATTATCTTGTTTCCATACTTCCCTAATATTTGCAAGGAAACTCTTTCCCACAAAACTTTGGCCCATTTCATTGTAAATAGTTTTAGCCACCGTGGTCTTGCCAATTCCTCCCATCCCCAAAATGCCTATTACGATGATGTCATTTGATTCACTACTTAGCAGTTGGATGATATCTTGCACTCGAGACTCCAAACCCACTGGATGGTGAGCAACAAACATGTATTTGCTATTGTCTAGCCTCATTGTGATAGTTTTCACAACATCGTCAAGTAACTCAGTCTCAGTTCTGGCAACAACAAAGAATTAGATGACCAGAAGTCTACCAAGAATCATTAAAATGCATGCTACGAAACTTAATAGCAGCAAAATGATAGATGCAGATTTATAAAAAAAAAAGAAACATGGAAAACACGTAGGAAAAGGACCAACTTTTCCTGCTAGTTTCATCATGCTTTTCCTGTATTGTCAGTTTACCATCTTTGATTAGAGAATCAATTATTTTATCTTTTAAGATAACTGGAGTTTGAGCTCAACTATTAGGACCTAAATATAGAAAAATTAAGTACATGAGATTCATATGGTACATTATGCTTTGCTAGATACCATAGACCCTCATGCATATATCGAATTTCCTCTCACTTATAAATGTATATGTACGTAATTTTGTGATTTTCATCGTGAATAACATATAGACCCATTTTCTATATGACAGAATCAACAGTGAAGTACAATGCATATAGAACTTTGCTATATTAACTAAACAAAAGCTATTATTTTTTCATTCATTTCTTAACAATGTTGCCAACGCCCATTGGTAATGTACGTACACGATCAATAACAGTAAGCCACGACTTCCTTGATCGCACAAAAACAAAGGAGGAAAAAAAAGGCAAGTTTTTTACTAACTACCGTGATTTTATGCATTCAATAAACAATCAACTAGCGTTCAAATGTTATGCTACCTGTACTTTTAGTCGTCATTTGTTGCCGTTATTAACTACAATTTCTTTTGTTATACTGGGAACATAGCTGATGGCTAAGTAGTGGAAATTCTAATTTTGAGTTGAATTGACCTTTGGATTGAATGTCTTAATGTTGAAAGAAACCAACTACTCTTATGACTTAGTTATATTTTCTGGTTGTGGTTTTGTACTTTTGTATTATGTTCTTTTACTTTCAAACGCCCCTAGAAACAATTTAATGCATTTGCATCTAAGATATGGTAAAGTTTTGTTAATCTCTTAGCCTCTATACTGATTTTAGGATTAAGGTACATTCATCATTCTGAAATATTTTCTCAAGTGCATCCATCATCTTAAAATATTTTGAGAGGTATCCACATCTTAAAATATTTTTAAGATATACACAACACACTAAAGTACTTTTTTTTATTAGTGTTGGATGCACCAAAAAAAATTTTAGGACGCTGTACGTACCTATAAAAACTTTAAGGTGCTAGATTTATCAAAAAATAATTCAAGATACTGAATGCAATTAAAAAAAACTTTAATGTACTGGATATATCACAAAATATTTAAGGGTGCTAGATGCAACTAAAAAAAATATTTCGAGATGATTTTATGACTATTGCCATTAAATCAAATCTATGGGTAATCTTGATGTACTAGGAATTAAATGAAGGGAGAGCCTAGATCTAAAGAAATAAACACAAATATTTAGATTAGAGATAGTTCTAAATATTTGTGATGACTTAAAACTATACTTTCATAATTTAATTAGTTGTTTGGGGTACGGAGTCAATGAATTCCGCAATGATTAAAAAGAGACTAATAATTTGGGAGATATTATAATACTTTGATAATAATTGTCACTATGATTAATCAGAGTCAACACAAACTATAGAAATTAACAACCCATCAGGTGAATCCTGAACCAAACGCTATAAGTGATTGTCATTTTCTCAAAATTATATCTCTCTCGTATTTTTATATTCCTCCATATTCTCTTCAACATGCTATAAGCGATTGTCTTTTTCTCAAAATTATATCTCTCTCTTATTTTTATATTCCTTCATATTCTCTTCAATTAATCTATTTTATCTTATTTTCTTTAATTATTAATTATTTAGACTAGCAAAAGTGTAACCTCCGAGTGGGTATGACCCGTAATATTCTGAGATTTTTACTACATCAATCCCGCACGCTTGCAGGGTATGTCATAGTAGCTTTAGCATACATTTTGACATGCATTAGCTTAGGTATGGTGTAGTCATTCTTTTTTTTTTCTTTTTTGCCAGAAGTTTAGACATCCACTTCGATCACTGTTAATTTGTGAATGACATTTAAATGAACTATAATTCTAAGTAACTAGGCTCCTCAAAAGATTTGACCTAAGTTGGCCCTTTAGATGGAGTAACTTAGCATACCGATTTGAGGACTAAGCGATAGCTAATCCATCCTCAACCTTTACTTAACCCTTACATTGTATTGTTTTACTAGCTTCAGATAGCTTTGTTAATTAAATACATTGTCTTTTGTAGACTAGAAGGCTTTAAGTCATGAACCTCTGCTCACACCCTGCATCATCCTTATTACCTAAACTAGTTTTAGGTGGCTTTGTTAAATATATATTTTAATCCTCTATTCCTCTATTTTTTTGCCAACTACTTTTTTCAACTGTTCGTTTTAGTAATCTCGAGCCACACATGTAAACTGTACCAGGATATTTTGTTTGTGAAGCATACATATATTATATATATCACAATAAATTTTATCTTTCATATATTCTGGATAACCAATTATGTTCTAACCTATGTGCTTGAATATAATTTCCCCCTATTTCATGCCTCGTCTATTTATAATATCCATTGAAAAATACAAAAAGGAAATAGGACAATTGTGCTATCCAGTGTTGTCTCTAGATTTATTTAATGTTCCTTTGGTCGTTGATTAGAGGAAGGTAAGCATGTAAAAGTAGCTTAATCATGAATCTATCCATGCACAAACAAAATTAAGGAATTCAACACATAAAAACAAACTTAAAGAATTATTTAATCATTCCAAATAATAATAAAAGGAAATAACATTACTTACCTATAGTTTTGCATGTCCCACCCTGATAGGTTGGCAGCCTCAGCAAGGACCCTCTTCAAATTGTTTGTGAATTTCTTACCCTTGCTACCTGAGGGTCTTGTTGTAAGTCTTTCCCATGCTTTTCCAAAGGCATTTTGTTGTTTACGGACATCAGATGGGTGCACATCATAGAATATAGGGAAAACCTCTTGATGAGTTTTGTAACACTCCATGATTTTCTCTAATTCTTGCAAGCACCAACTAGAGCCGGCATAATTTGTTGAGAATATAATGATTGAAATTCTAGAATTTTCAATTGCCCCCAGTAACGAAGTTGAAATGTGTTCCCCCCTGTCAATCCTTTCTTCATCCATGAAAACCTCAATTCCTACTTGTTTCATAGCATTATAAAGATGAGTGGTAAATGATTTATGCGTATCCCCACCTCTAAAACTTAAGAATACATCATAGAGACATGTGAATTTTGGCTTATTGTCTGTAGTGATTCCCCTCCCTATCTCTTGCAGCAAATCATGCACATGAATCTTGTCATTGATAACCTTTACAAGGCCGCACTCTACAAGTACTTGCATTGCCGTTGAGTCCATAAACAAATTTATAAAATCACTAATACTCCGACCCACATGAAAGTGTGCTATGTCACAAAATAATTCCTTTTCTGCATCAGCCAAAAGGTCCAGGCCTATTTTAAGCTTACGTTGTATATGGCCTTTTGGAACATCTTTTAATTTATTCAATACTTTTTTCCACTCTGATTTTTCCTTATTACACAAAAGAGAGCCTACAACTTCAAGAATCAATGGTAGCCCTTCACATAAAGGAATTATTTTCCTAGATGGATTCACAAAATCATTTGTTGGATCAAAGCTTTTAAATGCATGCCAACTGAAAAGCTCAAAAGATTCATTGTTGTCCAACTTTTTCATTTCATATGATTTGTCAACAAAGTTATCAAGTAGCTGTTCTCTTGTTGTAATCAAAATCAAACTCCCTTTACCAAACTGTTGTCTATTTCTACACAGGTTATCGAGTTCGGCTACTTGATTTACACCATCAATTACCACTAGGGCTCTTTCATAAGTTCCTTGTTTCATATGGTTCAGATGTTGACTTAGTGACAGAAGTTGACCATTATCATCGTCCTCCCATTTACCCTTGATATTAGCAAGAAAACTTGTGTACTTAAAATGGCCACCAATTATATCATAAATAGCTCTCACGATGGTAGTTTTACCCATACCTCCAGCCCCCCAAATTCCGACTATGATTGTATTTTCCTTGTGAAGGGATTCCCAAACCGATCGTTGAAGTACTTCTTTCACACGAGATTGCAATCCTCCTTGTGATACGGCTTTTGCAATAAGGTTATTGACTACTTCTTGGTCACTGGGGGCAAATTAGAATTAGACTTAGATTAAAATTAATGGAGGTATGTCTTACCAAAAAAGATATATATTCACACATATAAATATGTCAACCCCACATATTAACAATTTCTGTATAATTTGACCAACCAAAACTCATACCTCACTAAGAAACAGTTTAGCTGCTCATATTTGTTGCTATAGTCCATTTCAAGCATATAAATAGCTACTACAGAAAATGAGTCCTTTTTTTACAAAATCTATTGCAAATGAAATGCAAAATTCGTTACTGAAATAGTTGCCATGGATTTCTCCTTCAGTAGCAGTGGAATTCTACTTATTTTAATTTGTTGAAGTTAATAAAAACCACTTTTAGTTTGTTTATATGTAATCTACTGACCATTAACCTAAAAACATAGCATGCACCATTACGAAATTTGGAGCACACGAATCAATCAGGAAGTTCAACGAGCTATTGCACTAGCATGGGGTGTGGGCGATATTTTTGGCTACATTCACTACAAAATAAATGACTTTCAGTGTGTCGCGACTGAAAGTGTGACTTTCAGTAGTGACATTAAGAGTCACTACTGAAAATCTTATTTTCAACTGCAACCATAAATGTTACCGTTGAAAGTATACTTTCAACGGTAATTTTTCAGAATCATCACTAAAGGTCAATTTTTGAAAGTGAAACTTTCAGTGGTGACTAACCGTGTCGCCACTGAAAGTGACTTTTAGCGGCAATACTAACTGTCGCCGCAAAAGGTCTATTTTAACTTTTTATTATTATTTTAAGTTTTTTTTTAAAAATATCATATTTAGACAATAATTTTGTTCACTAATATGATTTACTATCACAAAATAAAGTATTTTCACATGTTGTGTTAGAGAGAGAGAAAGAGAGGGTTAGAGAGATAATATGGTGTGTGTGAGAATAAAAGAGAGGGAAGGAGGAGGAAATGAGCATATGTGTGTATGAAAGTGAGATATTATAATTATGTGCATGTGAGAGAGTTAAATAATCATGATAAAATTTATAATTAAATTTCAGTTATTTTTATATACTATTTTCATATTTCATAATTATAAATATAATAAATATTAAAATAAATAATATAATAGCTTAAATAATTAGAAATAAAAAGATACAACACAAATAATATTGTATGAATTATACTTTTTTTTATAAAAAAGGGATATTATAAATAAATATTTTAATCAAATAAGAAAATTAAAATATATATTTAATAATTTTAATAAATAGCTTTTAGCGGCAATTTTTTGTCGCCACCAAAGGACACTTAGCTGAAAGTCTATTTCAACATTTTATTACTATTATATATATTTAATTTTACAACAATTATTACTACATTCATTCTAGCTCAATGGCAAGAAGAAGAGATGCAAAAGGAAGAGGTCAGGAGTTTAAACCATGGAATGGCCATATTTAAGGTGATAATATCCAATTGGTGATGTGGCATGTTGACGTGGAGACACATGGCACAGGCAAAGTGGCGAGTGACATGGCAAAACTTGTCAGCCGGCCGTGGTCCCTATTTTTCTCCTGCAACACTTTAAACAGTGACTTTCTTGTTGCCATTGACAAGTTTAAACGACAGTCACTGCGGCAATGACTTAGTGAAGACTTTTTGACTTGAAAGTCAATTTTTTTAAGTGTTTGGTGGGGATAATTTTAAGCAGCGTTTGGTACACAGAATGAACATTAAAAGAATAGAAATGGGAATGGGAATGAAGACGAAAATAGGTCAAAAATGTTTGATATATATAATGGCGATGCTTGAATATTTTCTATTTCACATACGTAATTACAATTATATAAGATTATAATACCCTTGCCAAAAAAGATGATCTGGCTTCGCAACCCCTTCCTCCGGAAAGGGTGGTTTTGTCGGGGAAAAAAAATTCAGATCTAAGCTTAATTAGATTTTCAATCCCACCTCCCTCGTAATGTTTCAACCTTTCCCTTGGTTTTTGGCCAATCCAAGGGCTAAAAGATACATTGTATCAACTCATGCAAAATAGTGTACTCTTTGGCCATTCTCATATTCTCTCTCTCCCACTCATCCTTCCTACCACGGCGCTTTAGGGTTTTGGGGTCTAGGTAACCCATATTAAGTGCCATGGAAAAGATAAAAGAAAAGGAGATAAAAAAAATTAAATTACGACACTGCTGTGCAATGTGATTTATATAGTACATTATATTGTGCCGTTTGTCATTGTTATCTTGAAGAAATAAAGAAAGGCAAAAGGGAAAAAAAAAAGGGGGAAAGAAAAAAGAAGACAAAAAGAGGCTTAGAGTTGAAAAAAATGGTTGAGGGAAGTCAGAAAAACTTGAGGAATTTTTTCTTACATTGTGTGTTTTTCTTAAACTTTTCCCAGACATTTTAATTTTTCTATTTAATTTTTTTGTTTAGCTATGACATTAGCCACAATACAAGTCGATAAATTGCTCTAAGGGCTATGTATGTACCACCAATTTTGTGAATCATTCGATGAGCAGGGAATGCTCATCCCCAAACATTGTCATTTTGGGGATGAGATGAGATACCCCTCCTCTCTTTTTTTTTTGAATAATTTTCATTAATTTTATTTTTTATTTATTTGGGTTAACTTGTATTAGCACTCTAACATTTTTTCCAGTATCACCCTGTATCCTAAATTAATTAATTTTTTAAGATACTAGATGTTACTGAAAAAATATTTCAGGAATGCACTAAAAATTAATTAATTTAGAATATTGAGTGTTATTATAAAATTACTTCTAGATGTTTGATTCACTAAAAAAAAATTAATTTAGAATACTAGGTGTTATTGCAAAAATATTTCAGGTCTTGAATTATTTATATATATATATATATAGAGAGAGAGAGAGAGAGAGAGAGAGGGGTATCTCATCTCATTCTCGCTGAGCATGGCATGCAGACCCCAATTTTGTTAGTGCTAAGAGAAAACGTACGGTATGCCAATGAACTGCCAACAATGTCTCAAATCATAAGGCTATTCGCCAACCAAACATATCACATATATATATATATATATATATATATGGCTTCCTACATAATCTATTATAGACATATAGATGTTATAACTTTTAGACTACATATATATATATATTGTGAATTTCGTGAATTATGCGAGGCGGATAAGAATCAGAAAGGGAAGAGCCGGAAAAAAAAAAAAAAAAAAAGGAAAAAGAGGATTAATTGTTACCCAAAACCAGGTGACAGTGTGAAACCATATTGCAAAGAACACACAACGCCGACTCTTCGCAGCGAATCCCAGCTGGAAATGGATTTATCAAATGGAAAGTAGTAGTTCTCGAGCTGCACACGCATTTCATGGCTTCTCTCTCCGTAGAAGAAAGGCAACACTGTTGAGACCCGACATTATATCCCCCAGTCTCTCAAGACATATGCAAGACTTAACCAATTCTGGTGAGATTACCACCACCACAACTCTACATCTTTCTATCATCTTCCATATGGAATGATCGCCGATGTCGGCAAAGAAAGCCTTCAATCCAGCTTCCCTTAGACAATTCCCAAAAAAGGTTCTTACAGGATCTTCAAGACCATTGAAGAAAGTTACGAGGACGTGGTATTCGAATAAGTTCAATCTGGTGGGTTCAGAGGATGAGGAGGCCAAGGTAGACATGGCTGGATTGGTCGCAGTAGAGTAAGACACATATCAAGATTTGGGTGAATGATCCATTCCCCAAATCACTTCCCTTTTATACCGCTAGCAGAAAGCACTTTTTTTGGGACCGGTCAATGCTATTTTCTCAATACCTAGTTGAGTCATTACATGATGAACACCTTCCGCGAAGGTTGCATAGCGCGTTAGATGATGCGGATTTTGAGGAAAAGTTCTCTTCTTTTTAAATTTTAAAGCAATATATAGTATATTTAGGAAACAACCTTTGCTTTTAACTTTCTGACTTCTACGTCAAAAATTAAAGCAAACCGCAAAGCCGAAAGCATCATGATGCTCGCGTCGACTTTTTTCAAAAAATAAAAATATTATGCTCCTTCTGTTTTTTGAATTACGATCTGATTTTGTCCTGAAAGTTTTCAGGTAAAACATGTAAGTGTTCGAAAATTTATTTGCCAAAAGTAGTGCAACAGTGAAACCAAGATCAAGTAAATCTCGAGTATACAAGAAAATTCCAGCAACAATCGATTTTCCTGAGCAAGTTCGCGTGGCAAGGTTGGAAAATTCCACGAGTTCTTTAACTATTCATGCAGGAGAGTTCAACAAAGACATCTATAGATGCACTATTCAAGAGTATATACTACTCCATTACTCAATATAAGAGCTCATCAGGGAGTTAATATTACTCTTATATATAAGACATATTTCATATATTTATCAATTTTTTCTCAAATTAACCTCATTGATTTTTCTTCAACAATAATCAAGTAGGAGAAGAAAAATTAAGGAAGATACTTAGGATCTTATAAAAAAAAATCATATTAACTAATTCATCTAACATTCTTAATCTACTCAAATTAGTTAATTAGATCTTATATTAAGAACCACCGGTTCTTCTCTTTATTTTACTTCCCTTAGTTCATATAATTTATCTCAATATGAGATGAACACTTTTTTCTTAATATTTCTGTGGTGTCATTTATATTTTTAACATTTTAATGTGAAATCATTTACATATTATGTTGATTGATTTTAAATGTCAAATATGCACACATGATTATTTTGAATAACATATACTCCTCTTGTCCTATTTATAGGAAAAAGAAGAAATTTTTTGATCTTATTTATAGGATAGCGAGAGAAATTTTTGTTTAGATGTACAGTTTTACCTTTCATTTATTATCATGTTGACCTTGTTT